ATTTAGAGACATATAACACTATATATAAAATAATATGAAACATTTATTGTTATACTTGGTATATGTTATTATACATGTGAAATTCTATTTTCTCGACTGCATTGTGATTTCCTTGAAAGCAATGATCAAACACTATTCATTCTTAAGTTCATGGTAAATTTCTACAGAATGAGTGTTTTCTGTTGCTACAGTATCTTTTTCTAAGCAGCCTGAAATGCCTTTCATAACAGTTGTCTAAAAATAAAATCTCAAAAACTGAATTATAACCCACTGGATGGATGAGAAATAGAAGAAATTAAGAGGAAAATACTTAGTTATCTAAAATACTTACATGAGACAAATCTCTAAAATTTCCAGAAGAGAGACCCAACTGTACCCTTCTGTTTCTCTGAATTATATACTATTTCACCTTATAGACTTAAATACATCGTAATTAACCGTGCATGATCATAATAAGGCAGAGTTTCTGATTTTCAATCCACTACTCAAACAGGCCTACCCACAGAGCAGAAAAGAAACCATTTTACCAATTACCTCCTAAGGTACTCCTCCAAAGATATCTTCTTCTGTTAATGCATCCTACATGCTGAGTGTCCTTAGGGCTCAAGTACATCTTATGCTTCATTATCTTATATCTTCATAACATCTCTAGCTGTTTCACTTCATCCAATTCTGTCTAGAGAGCAAATGCCTCCAAGATGGTACCTCAGTTGAGGTCCCAGCAGGAAACAGATGGGATGCTTGAGTAAGACAACTAAAGGAGTTTGTTAAGTGCTATTTACCAGGTGTGGTAGGACATAGGGAAACCAACCAGGGAATGTGAAGTGTCCTAAGTCTGTAGTGGCAAGAGGACAGAGCCATAGTAATCCAGAAAAGGCAGCTGTAGTTATAGCAAAGGGCCTCCTGATAGTCTCAATAGCTTCCAGGAGAAGGACAGAGACAGGCAACAGCATTCTGGCAAGAAGAAATCTTGTGGAATCAACGCCTTCACCTCATGACTCCCTTCCTTCCAGTCTCCTCTAGAACTTGCCACTGCCTTCCAGAAGCCAGAAGGTCAGGAAGCCCCCAATGCAGCAATCTGCCCTCAGCCTTGGAAAGAACAGGCTGGAGAAAGTGGACACTTTGGAGTGTCAAACAGATAATTTACTACATCAATAGCTTCAAATTCAGTACTTATTTCTCAGTCCCATTTTTCCTATATGAGAGCACGAAGCATACAGACAAGGTGTCCGTCCTATCAGAAGAGCATCCAGTGTAGCAGCTCCGTTGACAACCTTTTTCCTTTTGTCTGAGTGAGTGACAGCCTGCAGAAGTTGCCAGTGATCTACCCCCATCCCTCCACATTCCTATTGACTCAGGTCCCAAGTTCACTGGAAAGGTCTCAATCTAGGAATCAAGACTCTTGACAGTGGGCTTTCCAATTATGGTTTAGATATGGAGTAACCCTCAAAAGCCCATGTACAAAGCAATGCAAGAATGTTCAGAGGTGAAATGACTATAGATTATGAAATGCAATCTAATCAGTGGATTAATCCACTGAGATGGATTAACTGGGTGGTGATTAGACAGGTAGGATGGGATTGGAGGAAATAGATTGCTGGGGGTATACCTTTGGGGTTTGAGTTTTGTCCCTGGTGAGCAGAGCTCTGCTTCCTGGCCATTGTGTCCTCAGCTGTCTTCCTCTGCCATGCCTTTCTCATGATGGTCTACATCTCCTTGGGCCCGGAGCTATAGACTCGGCCAACCATTCACTGAACCTCTGGAACTGTAAGCCAAAATAAACTTTTGCGTCTCTAATTGTTCTTGTCAAATCTTTTGGTCACAGTGAAGCAAAAGCTGACTAAAACAAGTGTTGAGAGAGAGGTTATCAGGAGAAGTCCTAAAACACTGACCCAGGAGGTGCCAAACCAATAGCCCCACTCCTCGCCTCCCCAGTGGAATAACACTGAAATGTGGTCCTGCAGCCTCCAAAAAGGTGCCCAGCACACAGACGCCTCAGTCACCCACTGTAGAAGGCATGGCTGCCTTTGCTTTCTTTCCTCATTTCCTCAAGTCTGGTGCTGGTGTTTCCTGGGACCACCACCTCAAGTGGTGGTGGTAAGCTACTTATATGCTAAACCTTGTCAAACCAGCTATGGGAGAAACCAACCTAAGACAATATCTGCAGTTTTTATTCTCCACCAAAGTTAAAATGAACTCAGTGTGGAGTCAAATATTTGACTTCTAGTGGCCAACTTGGCTTCAGACCATCTCTGTGATTCCAGCAAAGATGCCCAGCTCTCTAGGGCTCAACTTTCTCATCTGTCAAGTGAATTGCCATAAGAGGATCTCCAAGTTTCTTTCCAGCTTTAAAGTTTATTAAAAATTTACTAAAGGGGCATAAATCATGTGGGCCAGTACTAGAAGTGACATTAAACTTCATCCTTCAGAATAGCTTAAAAAAACTTAGGTAATACAGAAAAAGTCAAAAAGTACTATTATATCACAATAAAGAAAATAAATAAATAACTTTAAGAAATTAAGAGTTTAAGCTCTCAACCAAATGGCAATTACATATGATTTCTAACCAAATTTCCAAGATTTGGCAGCACAAATATAAGCAATTATCTTCACATTCATGAATTTCATATGAGCATCTACTGGCAGGCTTCTTAATCTATTATAGAGTATAACTATAAAAATAACAAAGACTGGAAAAAACATCCAAGACTAAATATTTCTTGTAAATTAATGCCCTTAAGAGACAAAGCCTGTCTTGTTCTATGGTTCTGGTTCTGCTGTAACTTCAAATGTCTCCTTAGGCAAATAATTCCTCCCTCCCATTTCTTCTACTCAGAATGGCACATCAAAGAAGGGTGAACCTGGGACATTCCATAAACAATGAGGGGCTGGGGTTGTAGCTCAGTGGTAGAATGCTTGCCTAGCATGGGTTGATCCTCAGCATCACATTAAATAAATAAATAAATAGACAGATAAAGTTCTAAAAAAAAAATTTAAAAAAACAGTCCACAGTGTGGATGGACCACGTTAAAAAAAAAAAAAAAACTGATCCTTAGTTGTTCTTTTAAAAATGTATGATTTTTTATATATATGCATTTATTGTGAAGAAATGTGAACTTCACACTATCCATATTATCCTGACAATTGCTTCTAATATTCCCTCCTGAAGTGAAACAGAATACAGTAATCTAAAATTCTGTTAAGTTAAGATGGTTATAATTTGGTGTTGGAAAATATAGCCTTCTGCCAAAATCAGCCATTCAATAGCAGTGCTTACCCACTCACAGGCAAAAGTCACTGGGTCCTGGACATTCTTTAAAACAAAGCACAATAAAACAAACAAAAAATAAATTCAGTGCTGGTCATGCAGTACCATGGAAAGGATGAGACTCCCATTTGTAGCTCTCATATTTGAAATAATGGCAAATTCATTCCCAATCACCAGTCATCAGCATGACCAGTCTGACAGGTGGGCAAGACCCCTTCTCACCAATATTTGGAAACATAAAAGGGAATCCAAACACATGTGGGCAGGACCTGGAGGACCTGGAATGGGGAAGATGATTAGAAGGGATTCAGAAGTTCTTTCACATTCTTCTTAACTGGCACATTCGTAACAAATGCATCATCTGTAATAAAATGAAAACTCTGAAAAATAATGAGGAGCCTCTTTGAAGGAATATTTGGGACCCTGCGGGTTCTTTCAACTCATTTCTTAAGGTCGTAGGTTTTGGAAACAGAAGCAAATGGGAACCAAGAAAAAATGTTCTAATTTAGTCTCTTCATGGGTACATTATCTAAAAAAAATGGTTTCCTTCCAACTTCCTCCAATATGAAGACTGGGCAGCTGCTTCTCTGTGATATTTTTTTCTAAGTTTCAGGGTCATGGGAGAGGATAAGGGAAAGAAGAAGGCTATACAATATTATTTACCAAAAAGTTGGATTTTAAATTATCATATTTAAATTATAAATTTGAACATTACAACTGCTAATTTATTATGTACATTAAAATTACAAAATTCTCAATAAGTATTACATCACTTTGGAAACATTACCATGATTAACTTTAAATTATATCAATGGTTCTCAAAGTTGGGTACACGATAGATTGATCTGAGAAACTTTTAAAAATTCCACTGCCCAGGACATACACTATACCCATTATAACATCTTTGGGGTTAAATTCCAACAACAATATTTTTAAGAAGAGGCTTAGGCAAGACTGATGTACAAACAAGATGGAAAACAATAGATCTATATTAGGTTAAATTAATGGTAATATGGTTTAGGGCAAAAGGTAGTGTCTTGAACCACTCCTTCACTCATCTAAAAATCCTGCCCTCCCCAGTCCTTACAAGTAGCCATCTGGGGCATGAAGCTGTCTCCCCACCGCTTGTGTATCTGAAGCTGTCTCTCTATTCCCTCCAGCCTCCTATCACCACCCCATAAGTTGATCCTGATACCTAATAAAGGGATAAAAAGAGGTCCATGGGCTATCACTGCCATCCAGACACTTAGAAATCAATGATACCAATGACAGAAAGGCAAGGGGTGACAGTGGATCATATGTGTGGATGAGAAGCTGGACTGAATCAGGAATAACTGAAGGAGGACCAAGTATGACAGTATTTCTACATAAGGGCAGGCACTATGTCTGGTCTGGCCCGTCTCTATGTCCCTATTGCCAAGACAAGCCCTGGAGCATAATGTATGCTCCATAGAGTACCTGTGGAAGAAATGCTAAGGGTGTCAGGGTGTGCCAGGAGCTATGCACAAAGCCATCTAGGTAAGGATCAGGCACTAGAAGTAGGATTCAGAGGCAGAATCACCATGAAGTACAATTACATCAGAACTATTTTCTAGGAGTAGAGTCTAAGATACTGTTAAACATATTGCAATGCACAGGACACCCCCAGCCACAGCAAGGAATCATCCAGCACAACCTGTCTGCATTGGCACTATTGAGAGACCTCACTGTGAGGCAAGGGTTAGTTTCCTACCTGTTGTCGCCATTTCTGATCTCACATCTCCATCCTCTGGTTCTCTGACCCCTCAAAACCATGTACAGCAGGGACAATTGTTGTCCACAGAGTCTTTGCAGGAATAATTCACCCACTAGAAAGAAAATTGATGGAAGGTGGGCCACACACTGCCATGAACCCTTGCAACTTCAACCTCTTTTCCAGTTGTGTTCTCACTCAAACATTCACCCATTCACTTAAACATTTACTAGCCATGTAAGTTGGTCCTAGCAACCTTATACTTACAAGTTTGTAGGGACAATAGATTTTAAAAAGTAATCATGCAACTCAGTGTAATCAGAGAAGCGGAAGTACGCAAAAAACAGAGTCATAAATCTATCACGAGGAATGATTACCACCAGAGAAAGGGTATTCCAATATTCTAGACTGTGGGAACAACATAAGCAAAGACCCACAAAGGCAAGAAGATATGAAAACAGGAAGCTGCTTGGCACTGCTGAAGGAAGATACATGAGTGGTCAGAGATGTGAGATCAGAAAGGGCAACAACAGGTAGAAGACTGAGCCTTGCCCTACAGCAAGGTCTCTCAACAGTGGCAATACAGACAGCTTGTGCTGGATGATTCCTTACCATAGTGGGGGTTGTCCTGTGCATTGCAGGATGCTTAACAGCATCCTAGACTCTACTCCTAGAAAGCAGTAAGTAGCACCCTTTTTATAGCTAGTACAGTAAAGAACAAGAATACCCCCATGCACAGTTAATAACAGCTCCAGATGTTGCCAGATGCCCTGGTTGAGAACCACTATGCCAGAGGCAGTATGGAGCTACTACATAGGCAGAAACTAAGCCAGCTTTGTATTTTAGGATGAGTGATATGACAGAAGTATGGAGAAGGAAATGGAATGAATGGGGCATCACAAACTGTACATCCAATACAAGTAACTATATAGCTGTGTCCATGCTTATAATCAGATTTATAAGGATCTCAGCATGTGTGCTCTCAAATGGATCAAATTAACTACTGTATACTTGAGGCTTTCAAAGAAGCATCAAGAAAAGTTTGTGAGTGTGTTGTTTTTTAAATTAACTGTCTTTATAATGTGAAAATGTCCCAAAGTTAGCCTCTTGGTGGTAAGATTCTGGGTCTCTTTTTTTTTAACACTTTTCAGTATCTTTCACAATCAGAAGGAATAAAAGAGCAATTACTTTTGATGGTACCTTCTTCAGGTGTATCCTTTGTGAAAATAAAGATGTTGCACACATGGTATTCAGTTGCAAAGGTAAAAGCAATGATACCACAATTTAACAGCCTCCCAGCACACATACATGTTGTGCCCTTGCTCACTGTGTTTTTCTGGTATTATAGCATTATGAAAGCAATTTTCTATGAACCAAAACATGCACGAGGTCTTTGCAGAACATAGCTTTTTGCACTGATTTCTTCCTCCCTGGCCCCAGTACTGGGGATTGACCAAGATCTCTCTACCACTGAGCTACATCCCTGCCTCCCCGAACCCCAGCCCTTTTCATTTTGCATTTTGAGAAACAGTCTTACTACATTGCCCAAGCTGGCCTTGAACTTGTGATCCTCCTACTTCAGATTGCTGAGTAGCTGAGATTACCAGGGTGCTCCACCACAGCTGGTTTGCACAGACCTCTTGAAGTAGGGCATGGTTTCAATTCTTTTTTTTGCTGTGTAACTGACCACGATATAACTACATGACTTAAGTCAATAATGATTTAATATTTCTCAAAACCCACTTGCTGGGCTCATCTGGGCAGTTCTGATCCACGTGGTATAGCTGAGGTCAGTCAGTTGTCTACATTCAGCTGGGAGCTTGATTGAGGCTGGAACATTCAAGATGGCCTGTCAGGCTTCAGGGTCTCCCTCCATATGGAGGATCAATTAACAGGCTTAGTCTAAGCTCTTACACAGTATCAAAGCTGACTTCCAAAAGGAAGCAGTACAACAAGAAAAGCCCAAGTGCTCTTAAACCTCTTCTTACATCATGTTTGCTAATGTCCCATTGTCTAACTCAAGTGACATAGCTAAGCCTGGAGTCAATGAGAAGAATGTACAAGAGCATCAGTTCTGGGAAGCAGAGTTCACTGGGGTCAAATGTCTAGCACAGTTGGAACAGGGTTTCCTTGTCGACCAGATTCTTTGACCCCACCTTTTGAACTAGGCATCAACAGACTTATTAAAAATCAGTGACTGCAGATAATGAAACAACACAAGTTAAAACTGAAGTTGCCCCACAGTTTAGTAGTGGGTTTTCCCTAGGCCAACTTTTGTATAGAAGTACAAAATTAAAAAATTAAACTCATCATTGCCTAATGAAAATGGCATTTCAGGGAAAAATATTTTTCCCTCAGGAATAGAGTTACCAGTGATGAAAGATTTACCCATAAAACATTAGTACTTTGATAAATAAGATTTCATAACTAAAATATACTCACTGGATGGATTAAAACAAAGTGATCCGAATCTACTGTTAATTCCCAGATGAATGAATCTATTTTGAAGAGCTAAGTATAATCTTGAGTTTTGCTTTTATTTTTTTCACATTGAAGTCCATGAAAAATGATGTCAATTATCATATGTAAAATTATAATTTGCTTTAGTTCAACTAAACTCTAGCAGTCCACTTCAGGAGTATCTTAATGCATATGATGATGGTTTTCTATTTTTGCACCTGTGGAATGTGAAATGTATCCTCCAGAGGGGAAAGCATCTCAATTATGACAACCTTCTAGGAGACAACAGCAGAAAAACCTACAGAGTAACAAAGATGACCAAACAAATACTGGATGTCCTGTTAATGGGTTTATCCTGTGGGTGGTACACTGCTTTCCAAGTGACCTACCATCAATAACAAATGAGTAGTAACAAATCAGTAACAAATGAGCAGGTCCTTCCTGGTTCCAATCTCATAGATGAAGGATGCGCAGATCAAGGTGAACCAAGCCTGGACTGATCTCCTAAGTGAATCTGATATATTCCAAACAACATCAAATTTGGGTCAATTGATAGTCAAAGAGAGTTCAAAAGAATCGGAAATAGCATATGACTTTTTTTCCCTAAGAATTACAAATAAAGTATAGTCTGTTTTTAAAAACAGCTTCAATAAATTAATTTGGTGAATGAGGTGCATTAATAGCATCTAGAACTGTGCCTTACCCAATAAATAATTGTCAGACAAATAGACTATTACCTAATTGGGCAAAGGAAAGTGGACTTGGAAATCTAGCACAATTGTTTTCTGTTCATTCTTGGCAAAATTTGCAGAGGCAGGAGGTATAGGGAAGGTGGAAAGGTCATTACTGCATTATCCCTTGAGATTTCATATAAATAAAAATTACTTCTGTGATTTTTATTTAAGTCTACTGCTACTAATCTATTCTAACATATTCATTTTGTGAATTAAAAAAAAACAGAGACTTAGAGTAGTTTAATAACCAAACTATGAAGGTCTTCTTATGGGAAGAACGGCAACATTAGACCTCAAGTTCAGAGAAATATTAGAATATATGGTCAATTCTTATTATTCATGATTTTCATATTTGCAAATTCACCTACTTGCTAAAATTAATTTATAATTGAAAAATCAATTCTCACAGCACTTTTGCAATCTTTGGTGGACATGCACAGAGAAGCACAAAAATCACTGCCAGACGCACATGACCCCAGCTGAGGTTGAACCAGGCTCCACTCTGGCATAGTGTTTCAGCTCCTATACTATAGAACATGTCCTTCTTGCTGTCTGCTTAGCACCAGCTATTCCAAGTAATATGTGTTTTTTATTTATTTCATTTTGTTTAAAATGAACCCTAAGATAGATGATCATCAAAGCTCGTTTATGATATGCCTTATGGAAAAAATACATGGGTTAAAAAACCTTAGATGGACTTATCTCCATTATTCTATGAACACCTTGGTTTTTCTCATTGTCAATGACATGGTCTTTATCAATTATATAGGAATTCCAGTATTTGCTAATTTGATAGCCATAAATTTAGCAAAGGAAAAAAAATCGTAGAAATTACCTAGTACAAATTTTAATAACCTCAGTTCCACAGGTGACCAAAGAGGTCCATAGATATAATCAAAGGTTCAATAAACTTGTGTTGTTTTCAATAACCTCTAAATGAAGTTTAGCATCTCCTCCAGTTTAGCATCTCCAACTACAGTTGTATTTGCAGCACCTTTGACTTTAATCTTCCAAGGCAACTTCTGGTATTCTTATATCACACAAGGATTGTTGCAGATATTGCAAGATAACACTGTCTTTGCCAATAATTCAAAGTTACAAGCATTGTGAATGCCTCATTTCACATGGTAATAAGAGATACATATATTTTCCTGGCACAAATTCATTGATTATTTTTGTATGTATATTTCAATACCATGAATTCCTTGGTAGTACTGTGTATTTCATTTTGTACATTTGAAAATTTATTTAGAGAAGGGGCCCATAGAAACTTCATCAGACTTCCATAAACACCTACACCAAGTCTTTCATCCCACAAAAAAACATGACTTGGAAAGCAGGTTGTTGAGGTCCCACCATAAGTTAGGAGGAGCTCCAAGCCTGAAGCCTCATAATAATTAACATGGAGTTCTACGTGTCATACAAAGCAGTTTCACTATTAAATTTAAGAACAATAGCTGAGGTACCTCATCCCCAAAGCTTGGCAACAGATACATGAGCCCTGAGATTAAATAATATCAATATAAAGAAAAGAAGTTCATACCCCTGAGAATAAAAATGATGAAGATTTTTCAATGAATAAATGAGTCCATCCTATCCCCCCTTATAACTGCCTTGCTCTACACATGGAAAGGAATCACCATGGTGGAGAGCCAGGAGCTTTGGTAGAAACTCAGGTGTGCTGGTGCAAACTGTGCAAACCCGAGGTGTATAATCACCATTTCTCCCCATCACCCTACAAGCATCCTAAACACTAGCCACAACAAATTAATTGCTATATTCCCAGCTTTCCACCACTTAGAAGCAAACTCAGTTCGGAGCAAGCCACGCTATTCCCTGACTCCTAATATAGTTTCCCTATTTACCATGGTCCTCCTGACTTCTCTCCTTGGCAAATACCTTCTTTTCCTTTCATACACTGGTACATGTCACCTTCCTCTATTTTTACAAAGCAGTTATGCTTGTCTCAATACTAGACTGTGAGCTTTGTGAACGGGGGCAAGGAAAGAAGATAGGATTAGAGAAAAGGATGTCTACATTAATATATCTATATTGATGAGACAATATGTTATGGCTGGGACATGAAGTGTTCCCCAAAAGCTCCTGTTTAGTACAGGAATATTCAGTGATAAAAGGATTAGATTGTGAGAGGTGTAAACTGATTGGTCCATTCTCATTCCAGTTTGAATGGGTGGTAACTCGAGACAGGTGTGGCTTTGGTGGAGGAAGTGGGTCACTGGGGGCATACCCTGGAAGTGTGCATCTTCCCTGTGGTCCCTTCCCCCTGCTGTCTCTCTGATTCCTGGCTGCCATGAACAGAGCAGCACTCCTCCACCACACTCTTCCACCATGATGTTCGGCCTCACCATGGGTCTAGAGCAATGGACTCAGCAGACCATGGACTGAACCTCTGAGCCATGAGCCAAAACAAATATTCCCTCTTCTATGCTGTAATTGTTGGATTTTTTGGCCACAAGAACACAAAGCTGACTAACACACCATACTATTAAAGTTAATGTTTATTATGCATTTAGTATGTACCAAGAACTGCTCTAAGCAATTTATATGTACTACCTCATTCATCCTACAGTCAGTGGGCACAAACCTAATATCAGGGATCAGGATGTAGAGGCACAATGAGGTTAAGCAAGCTGCCCAGTGTCACATACACAGGAACCAGCAGAGCTGGAATCTAAACTATGATCCAAAGCTTATGCCCATAATTGCTGACTGAACTGAAAGGCACTGACCTCAGTCTTTGTCTAAACAGGTGAAGAGGTTACAGGTCACAGAGACTGGGTGATATTTTATTATGAAGACCCATGGTAAGATTAGAATTCAGAGCTCTAATGCTAACTTTCAAGAAGATGCCCGAGTCCAGCTTCAGTTTAGATTTTAGTTCAAAAGTAGGGAAGAAAGGGAAAAAAAGGAAAGAAGGAAGGGAAGGAAAGGAGGTAGGAAAAGAAAGGGAGGGCAGGAAAAGGAAGAGAAGGGGAGGGGCAGGGAGATTGACAGATCTATTAGTCAATCCATTGGTAAATCAACTGATCAGTCAATAGATGAACAGAAAGATTAACGGCAAGACAGACAGAACTGTTCATGCTCACAAGTCTCCAGTAAAGCAGATCAGGCCTGAGTAGAAATCTGTTCTTGCTCTTTAAACAATAAAAGAAAGTCAAGACATGCTACTAATATCACCCTAAGTGTCCTCTAATTTCATGTAATTTCACACTGCTGTGTGCCAGCCAGGAGGCACACAGTTGAAGGAAAGCTTAGAGAGGACGAGCTGCCCTCCCAGGAAACCCTCAGAGGTTCATTTTCCAAAGAAGAGTTGGCTTCATTTTCCCATTCTACATTAGCCCACCTACATTCTGATGGGCGCATTGAATACGATGTTCTCTGTTAGTTCAGAGAAACAACAACAATGTTTGCTTTATTAGGGTTTCCATATTCATTTCTTGCTTATCTGATCTCTCTCTCCTGAGAAAAAAAATGGTGAAAGAAAAATTTCCCCAGATAGTTGGCTTTGTTCAAAATCAACAAAGATTTCCAACCTCCAACATGGAAGATTAGATAAACTGGTTTCTAATGTAGGGAACTGAACCATCACAAGTAAACATCATCCATACGTTTCCTGGGAAAACAATCCAAACACAAAAAAACATCTGCTATGTGCTCTTTCAATGACTTTGAGGGGAAAACCCTTGCAGAGATATGACTATCTTTTCTGGTAGACAAAATGGCTTTCTAGATTGAAAGTTATTCATTTACTCTAAACCAGCTAGAAGACACATCAATTAAAGTAATTTACCTTTTACACTTGAGAGAGGAAGATGTAAGCAGACATTCTAAAGCATGCATGAAACTACTGCACGACGCACAGATTTGGCTCAAGATCGCTTTCCGGTTTGGGGAAGGTGGTCCTTAGCTGCAGTCTTCAGAGACATACACATTTTCCCTCTGATATCACAAGTCTAGGGTCCAACTCTCTGTGGTTTGACAATAACTGCCCACCTTAAAGAGCATTGGCTGCTAAGTGTTCTAACTAGGCACTACAAAATCCCAGAGACCAATGAAAATTCACACCTCCCTAAAAGCCAGACTCCCTCAAAGACACTGACACAGAGCTCTGACATACATTGCTGGCCGCAGTCCATTTTCATTTTCAGAAGCAACTCGGGTACAAGAAACTTAATCTGTTTCCAAGCTCGCTGCCGAAGACATACTTTTATATTAAAAATACAATACACAGAGAATTGTCAAAATGAGCCAAGAACAACAAACTAGATACAACCAAGAGGAGCCCCAGAGGCTACATATGGTAGCAAAGCCAGAAACAAGAATCTATATATAGAAAATTACTATCTTAACCAACAAGAAGCCTACTTATCTGTAGAACTGTTTTTGCTTCTTTCTTTGGGATCTAGCTCCATGTACGGTAACTAAAGTAGAATGGTAGAGAGGCAAAAGGGGAATTTAAAAATATACCTTTTATGGATAAAAATGTTATAAGGGTTAAATGCTGATGCGAACAGGTTTAGCTGTCTTCTTGGACACCTGGCTGAATGGGGTGGAGAGTCAGGTGCACCAACCAAAGGAGTCCACCACAAATATCCTAATCTCCCTGTTGCTCTCCAACAACAGAACACAACTAAGCACAAACAGATATTCACAGGGCACCTTCTCGATTCTTTGTTGTTTTTGTTTGTTTGCTTGCTTGTTTGTTTTCCCCATGAAGTATAACCTAAGTCAAGGTTGAGAACAAGAAATATATTTATGAGGTGATTCCAAGAAATGCTAGTAGGAGAATGGGGAAATGAGCCAGAGAAGGAGGTCAACACAGGGCAGGCTATCAAGCAAGTTCCCACCATGGGAACTGGAGGCTAGTCCCAATGGAGAACCCTGGGAAACGGGGAGAACACACTCTTCTAGTTATCTTACTCCACAGGCAAGGGAGCTGGGGTGGTACACACCAACCCCTACCTCAAGTTGGGAGAGGAATGTTGACTTCTCGGCCCACATGTGGGTGGAGCAGATGACCAGAGAAACAGATCAGGATCAACAAAGAGCATGAATCATGCAAAACATACAGGCAGTTGAAAATGGAGTATAAAAATGTTAAGTCTCAGCCAGGTGCGGGTGGCGCACGCCTGTAATCCCAGCAGCTCTGGAGGCTGAGGCAGGAGGATCGTAAGTTCAAAGCCAACCTCAGCAACTTAGAGAGGCCCTAAGCAACTCAGTAAAACCCTGTTTCTCAATAAATTACGAAAAAGGGCTGGGGATGTGGCTCAATGGTTAAATGTCTCTTAACCCTGGCACCAAAAATAAAAATAAAACTTTTAAGTCTCAAAGCAAGAATATAGCGATATTTGCACACCCACATTCATAACAGCATTATTCACGTATCCACGTTCACAGAGCTAAAAGATTGAAGCAGCTCAAGCATCCATCAATAGAGGAATGGATAAACAACATGGAATGTGTTTCAGCATCAAAAAGGAACGAAATTCTGACACATGCAGTGACATGGATGAGCCTTGAGGACACTATGCTAAGTGAAATAAGCCAATAACAAAATGACACACACTGCATTATTTCTACTTCCATAAAGGGCTTAGAGCTATCAATTTCATAGTGAAAGAAAACAGAATGGGGTAGTTTATAGGGACCACAGAGGGGAATGAGGAGTTATTGTTCAACAGGACCCAGCTTTAGTTTTGCAAATGAGAAAATTCTGCAAATGGATGGTGGTAATGTGAATGTACTTCATTTACATTACTTCATGTACTTAATGACACTGATCTATTCACTCAAAAAGAGCTAAGATGAAAAATATCATGTGTATCTTACTGTAATAAAAAAGGGACCTGCACCTTGAGTGTCTAATAACTCACTCAAAGAGCTACCTCAGAGATCTTCTGAAAGATCAGGTGAGACAAAAGAGAGGCCCATCAACAGAGAGGGGTCTATTCTACTTTTGTAAAAAATTGATTTGTTCATTTTTTTTCTGATTAGAAGACTAATACATGATCACCAGTAAAAACTTAGAACACATATTAAAAAAGAAAATGTAAGTCTACTCTAATCTCCTGGCAGGGGCTCTCAGGATGTGCAGTATGGAGTACTAACCGCAAATGGACATCCCTGGAAAGCAGAGGTGCCGCCACCTCGGCTGCCAGCTGGCAGGCCGCGTAACTGACAGAGCTGGACCACCAGCGCTCTGCACCCACAGCTCAGCAGCAGGCTTTGAGCCCGTGCTGCTGTTTAAACATCCTGCTACTGAAAGTATGGCCCACAGACCATTAGCACTGACATCCCCTGGAGCCTGTTTGAGTAGCATGGTCCCAGGCCCCATCCTGGACCTGCTGACTCAGAACCTGCATTTTAACAAGATTCCCAGGTGATTTGTGTGTTCCTATCTGAGTTTGAGAAGTGCTGCATTCACAGGGCCCTTCTAGTTTTGGCTATGATTTCTATAAAGGATTAGAGCTACTAAACCTCTAGTGCCTTGGTATTAAAACTTTAACCTTCTCCATTTGTTCCCACTAAGTGTCATCCACACTGGCCTTCTAGCTGTTGCTCAAACTTGCCCACCTCATTCCAACCTCAGGGCCACTGAACTTGCAGTTCATACTGTGTGGAACACTCAACAGATTTTTATATGACGACTCTTTCATGTTTCCTAATCAGACAGCACCTCCCCAGGTGAGACTTCCCTGTCTAGCTTTAAAGTGAAGAAATACAGTGTCCAGCACACAGGAGATGCTATATGTGTCTACATTGTTAATTCATATTAATATTACAGATAATGTCACCTGAAAGAAAATCGATGGAAGGTGATAGAAAAGTAGGATATTTTCATCTAAAATAATAAATTTGACTTGATTTGCTGGCATTGAAACATGTATCAAAAAGCAAGCTAAAAAGAATAAAATGGTTTTCTCCAAAGACTAAATGCCTCTTTTGTAATGCAACTCAATATTCTCAGACTTTTGAGATGTAAAAAAAAAAAAGAAAGAAAGAAAGAAAGCGCAAATGAATGACAAGTTGAAACTTGCTCCCACCCTCCTGCATTTCCAAGGCTGCTGGTTTGTTGTGCTCCGTGTCTTTTTTCTTCATTTCATACCAAGTTTGTGAGCAACAACAGGGCTTTGTTAGTTTGTGCAGTGATGCAATTACAAGCGCCTCAGCTCTCTCCCCTGCCCCAAGCATCTGACTTCAGAAACAAAGAGTAAGACTCACCACTCAAGCAGGCTGTGGCCACAGGAGAGTCCCTGAAACATGGAGAATTTTCTCAAATCCTACTTTTGCTTAGATTTGAAAATATGGACAGAAGAGGAGAGGGGGCTGAGGGAAGGAAAACTAGTTGAGTTACAGAATAGCCACATATTTTTAAACCAAGGAACACACACCCAGAACTTTAACATGATTATTCTTTGATCCAATGATTCTGCTCCTAGGAATTTATCCTCAGGGTATACAAAAGTGGGCATCTTCTGTGAATGGTATTCTCCACAGCTCTGGTTATCACAGGATTATTTTTTTAAAAGAGAAAAAGTAGGGGCTGGGGTTGTGGCTCAGTGGTAGAGTGCTTGCCTAGCATGTGTGAGACATTGGGTTCAATTCTCAGCACCGTATATAAGCAAAATCAAAAATAAAGGTCCATCAACAACTAAAAAAGTATTTTAAAAAAAGAGAAAAAGTAGTTTACAATACTGGATTACTAGTTAAATAAATCTTATCATACGGAGAGTAATCCTTTCCAAATAATGCTTGTTAGAAGTATGTCTAATACCATGGGAAATGTTTGCACTGTATTTTTTAATGTAAAAGTATAAGGTACACAAAAGTGAGGACAGTGATAGGCCATTACTATCTTTACGCACACACACACACATGTGCACACACACACACACACACTTCAGTCCCTCTCTTTCCCTTTCCTTTTAATTTTCTTCTCAATACTCCCTGCCCCCAGACACACGGCAACCTGTGGACTACTATCTATTCTTCCCAGAACAAAGTCCACTTCAGGAAAAGAGGAGATTCACAACTGTGTCCCCAGTGCCTCACACTGGTTCTGCTACATAGAAGTCAAGCAGCATGACCTGGTCAAGCAACAAAGAGCATGGATCATGCAAAACATGGAAGGCATTTCCCAAATTACAACATTAGCTAGGACGGGCCAGTGAAAATACACTGGCCCGTCCAGTATATTCTTATGCTGGTCTAGAGTTTCCTAATTATGTACCACAAACTTCTTAAAAGAGTAAAAGCTATAACCTCTTTTCATATGTGTGCATCTCTGTGTGTTTGTATAAATAAATACATGTATACATATGAACATATATTTATATATATGTGCAAATAAACACATTTGGTAAATATGTACATATTTAATATATTTTATATATATTTATATATGTTCATATTATACATATGCATAATATGTATAGTTAGATTTGATTATCTAATAAAATTTCTCATTCCCCAAATTGCCAATTTATACAGTGGAAGAAAATAAAACATTATTTTACTCTCCACCTTACATGAATAAAATGAAACACGGGACAAGTGGTTTAAGATTAAAAAAAAAAAAAAAAACTCAACAAATCCATTTTTGCTTCTTACCACTCACACTTTCATTAAGTCACATATGAGGCATAAAATCAAAGAGCATAATCCTTAATAAACTGTCCTTTCTCTCAGGAGAAGTAAATTTTCATTTTTGAATTGCATGCTGCATTTTGCAACTGCAAGAAAATAGCAATTTCACAGGTACCCCAATATGTGCCCTGTTGTTTTATTTTTATTATATTATAAGAGCGATTGCTCCAGAAGGCAGCGAAACTGGATCACAGTGTTCTCACTGGTCTGAAAGCAGAATTGCTATGGAAAGATAAACCTGGCAAAGGATCCATTCAAGAGCACAGGAGGTGCTCAGAGAGCATCCCTTGAAAGGGGGACTGGGGCGGCATTAACCCTATAAGGCATCAACTCAGGGGAGTCTTAAAATGTAAACTATTTCCTGGGCCATCTTTTCTATCTCCATTTATGTTCTTATAACTAATATAAAAACATTAGAATTAACAAACTTTTAAAAATCCAATTCAGAAGACGTGCAAAATCATCATTGATTACAAAGATGACCCTTGCCAACTAACACTGCAAAAGCCAAGTTCATATGAGAAGACAGAGGTCTCTCTCTGCAGAAAGCACAATGTGAGAAAGGATTGGGAGTATTTCTCCCCAGGGGAGTACCAAGGGAGTGGGTGAACTGGTCACAACACTCAGACTCACTGTGAGCCTCCTGTCCTTCACCTCATATCAACTAACTCTCTGCCTTTTATTAATCTTCTCTTCCTGTGCTTCTTAAATGATTCCTTTCACTCTCT